ATCCTTACTAGTCACTACTCACTCTTAAACTTTCGCCAATTCTCACACTCCATCACTGCAAGTCTCAGACCAGTCTAAAAGGGTTGGTCAGGTTGTGAATTTTTTAGATCATTTTGGTGTAAATTTTTTTAAATAAAATAATGCATAAAAAAGAGTTAAGTGGATTGGTAGATTGGACCATTTGACACACTATTCCACAGAGATTGGATTGGCTTGAAATTTTTTCAATCCATATGAAAATATGTTTAGACCCATCCTGCGCATATTCCCCCAACTCATATAGGTTATTCTATATGGTTCGAGTTGGTCTGCATTTACACATCTATCTACCATGTTGAATTTTGTATTTAATTGGAATTGGGTTGTGAGAAAATAACTTAAACTATAGATCGTCTTCTTCTTTTAAAACTAAATGGGGATATCAAGTATTGCTTTCACATGTGAGACATCTGGTCATACTTTGCTGTCCCTGCTCACTTTTTCTCCTTTCTTCTTATTAAATGGGGCTGTTGAACTGAGTTTTTGCATGTAATTGTATCGAGGCCTATTATTTTACCAAAACAACAGCTTAGTCCGGTGCATAGCCCAAGAATTCTCTTGGATTGCCAAAATTGACTCCCGAACCGACCGACCATTAGATGACTATGAAGAGCAGGTCCAAAAAAGTTGAGCCCAAGGAAAATGGCCCCTTTTCCAATCTATCTAAAATGCCCCTTTAATCAAAAATGAATCCTAAACTTTTATCCGGAGGCTTGTATATGTTATTGGAAGAATTAGAGTATTGATTGCCTAAAAACTATAGTATAAAAATTCAAGTTAACCTTTCTAATTGAATCAGTAAACTGTTAAATCGATATCTCGACCTGTTAAATAAAATGCTTTGTTTATAAATGACTTGATCACAATTCAACTATAATTTTCACAATTAACTCTAAAATTATTATCTTAATCAATTTGATGACAGGTTCATTTTCAGAACCTTATTGAAAAAAAGCAGGGCAAGCACTTTCAAGTGATTAAGTCAAAGACATTACCAACTTCTGTGTGTAAGCTAAAAAGAATTAACCAACTTCAGAAAGGAAAAATATGTTTTCCATGTCATCAAGGCGTAGCAAGTACCCCAACGAGGGCTAAGTTGATAACCAATGTTTATATTTTTTTTAAAAAAAATTCAATGTATGTATTTTACATATTTAATTTGATTTGAGGAAGCCACAATGACACAACACTTATGATAAATTTGATGGTTGTGCAGCTCAAATCCATGGCATGCTATATTTGCATTTCTAATTCCAGCAATAGGAATGGTTGTTCAGATGCACTATCCCAATTCATCACCTTTAGATGAACACCCTGCAAATATGTGGATTTTCATTTCATGTTTGTTTCTCTATTGCTTCTCATTTGGATACAACATCAAGTGCCAAATTTCTGCCCCAACTGATACTACTTACCTCAAGTACTCACTCAAGGCAGCTTTTATCTCTGGAAGTTTGGCTTATGCTTCTCTAATATCTGTGCTGGTCCCACATTTTCTTCAACTACTTGTTTTCATCATTTGTTTGATGTTACTATTCATATACTTTTTCCGCAAAAAGATAATTCAAATTTGTGAAAATGCTGCTTCATATGTGTATAGTCATTGGGGAGGAAACTAAGGCAACATTTAGTATCTAGAAAAATATTTTCTATAAAAAAAAGAGAAATACACTTTAAAAAAAGAAAATGGAGATAAGTGTATTTTATATTTTTTCTAGAAAATATTTTTCTGCATACCGAATATTGCATAAAAGTAACTAGGTCCCCGCAAGTAATTAACAGAATAACACCTGTAGTCTAATTTCTCATTAAGTCCTAGAACTTAATTATTACTAGTTTACTACCTTGTATTTGGCTTATGGTGATGTTGTAAGGCAATGTGATGACATTTTGCTATACTTGCACATTATGATGTTGCGGATAGTTAGAAGTTGTTTTATTATAATTGCTTTTTTGAGAATGATAAACAAATCTCATCTAAATAGGCAAGTGATACAAAAAATTACAAAATATGATAATTATTTTAGAGCCCCTAGGGATTTATCTTGCATTAATTTTTTTCACAAAATGATAATAATAAAACAATTAATTGACTAAAATAATATGGAAATTAACTATTTTTATTAATTATCATGAAATATTAATCACGACCCTCCAACTTTTTTCTGATCACTAATCTATGAATCAATATCTTGATCAATGGTTCAATGGTTGATCAAGTTTTGTCTGCCTTACTTGTCGCAAAACTTTCAATGCAAGTAACTCATGTGCTTGTTTGGGATTCCACTTAGTTAGCTTAAAAGTTAGTTAGAAATAAAAAAATATGTTTGGGTAAGAGTAGCTGAAAAATGAGCTTTTCTTTCTTAACTACAGTTAAGTCAAAAGCTAGATTTTGAAGCTTTAACATTAGTTATGTTGAAATCTAACCATTAACAACATTTAATGCATTTTAAATTTATTGAATACCCTGGTATCCTTTCACATTTCCTTTTAAAAATTGATATTTTCATTATTTATAAATTTAACATTTTTATTATTTATAATATACATACATACATACATACATACATATATTCTTTAAATAGATCTAATTTAATTTTTGTTAGTATTTAAAAATATTTTCTACATTAATACATTAACTCTTTTTATTTTTATAATTATAATTATAATTTTAATATTTTCTTAAATTTATTAAATTTCATACTTATATATGTGTATGAGAAAGAGAAACATACAAATGTCTTTTTTAGGTATTTTTTCACTAGCCATTTTTTTAATATTTAAATTTGGTTTTTAAGTACATCATTTAAATAAATTTCAGTTTATCAAATTAACTTTTTATAAAAAAGCATAAATCACATTATAATAACTGACTTTTAACTCAATTTTAATTTGGAAACTGTAGTTTATGTAAAATATAGTTCTGCAGTGTTAATCCAAACAAGCTCATTGAATTTCACTGCCAACAAACAGGGGTGGAGAAGTTGAGATTAAAAGATACATATAATATAAAGTTTGATATAAATCTGAAGGCAACGGAAATACATAGTACCTATACAACAATATCAAGAAAATATTTAAAACTGGTTCCCACAAGGTAAGTTCAAAATCTTGCTCCCCTGTTTCAAATCTTAGTACTCTGCTTCGTCGCGTTTGAGTGATTAAGAAATCATCAATAAGCTGTCTAGCAGCAGAACTACTTGCGGAATGCTTTTTGATTCCTGAAAGAAAGATATAAGTTTTGCTTCATTGCAAATTAAAGTTTATCACTTAGCGGTGTGAGCACTGAGCAACAATTACATATGGCTCTCAGTAAAGGCAAAATGTCAACGGACTGATGGAATTACCCACAAAATTGAGTCTAGTAGAATAAATTAGTTCCACACATGACAAACCACGTTAAGAGAAGTATACATATTTAATGTCCACTGATGGCACTATGTATAGTGTAAGATTGACTTCAATAAGAGAAAACTGTGAGCAAAAAGCCAATGGAGTTGCCCGGTAAAGTGGAGCATGTTGTGATGAGAATCAATGGCCACTCTTGCTCAGCTGTCTAACAAGTGGGACCCACACATTCATCTGCCACAATCACACTTGCATAAATAAATGAACTCCATTGATTTGATAATTTCTTCTCTTGCCTGTATCAATACATTCAGACTCTCAGATCCATCCTTGGAATCTGCTACCATGCCTACCTCTGTAAACAACAGAACTTCAAACAGAATTTACTTCCATACCTGAACAGAAGAAATTCAGAGGATTTGGAAGTGCAGTGAAGGAGGGAAGTAACCATTGATTCTCATCACAAGCTGCACCACTCTACACAGAGATGAGATGGATAGACACAGCAATGTCTATCTTTTGTGTGTGCGTGCATGCGTGCGTGTGTGTGTGTGAGACCCATATTAGTATGGCATAATATGTTCTAAACTAACATGAGTATTTATAATTTGACCATCTTGTTAGAGAATTTGAAAGCAAATGGATAAGAAATTATACATTTTCGTGGCTAAAATATTGCTGAGTTCATATAAATTAGACACGTCAGACATTTTCTCTGAGCTCAAAAGTGATAAAAGGTTGTTTTGTGTATGGACTTAGTCAACTTTTTTTTTAAGGGTCAATGATGGTCAGTAAGATATTGACTCTATATGGACGTTTTGGGCTAGTACCTATTGTTGGATGTTTGGGTTGTGGGCTGTGATAAATTGGGCCAAATCACAACGAGCGTTCTAGGATTAATTAATTAATAATAATGTGCTAATTAGAATCTTCTATCTTAAATCCAGTGTACTGATAATCTTTCATATTAATTAATAATATTATATATTTTATAATGATAAATAATAATATGTAATTCATTTTAATTAAATTTTATATAGTTTGTGATGGATGATAATCAATGTTGACGTCCACTTGTGCCCATGTGCAACCTTTTCTTTACTTTACTGTTTTTACTTTTTAGACCAAACACCAAAGAGCGCGCATCAAACAAATCCGTGAGTGTGGACGGGGCGTTGGCAACCAAAAAAACAAAAGACAATAGATCAACGTATCATACTATCATATCATTTCTCTTGGAAGAATACTTTAAATTTGTTGATTCCTTGTAACTGAAATGTTATATTTTACAACACTGTCATTGGAATCACTGTCATATCATATTTGAAATTTTAATCATTAGGAGTGGTTTGGTATGAAAAATAAAAATAATCAAAAATCAATATAATAAATCTAAAAGTAGCAGGCTTACTTTAAAAATGATAAAGCCGTAACCGAATAGAATAATAATAGAAACAGAGTAATCTTATATAACTAAAATTTTGTGTATTAAAAATGTATCTTACACCACGTTTAAAAATGGATTATTATATTCCTTACTATTTATTTTATAAGAATATTTCTTTAAAACATACCAAGCAGATCTCAATATCAAATGCTTGGGATCATGACAATTTATGACAACTATTCATCTTGAATTTGTGCTATCCCATTGGCCTTTATACATTGATAAACCATATTTAAATAGAAAGCCATAACCCAAAGCAAGCACAACATTAAGAAATTCACTAAGTTCTCTGTAGGCCCATAAAGCGAAAACAAATCCTACACATGCTTCAACATTATTCCTCAAGTCCTCACCACTAACTCCATAATCACTTCCCCCTAACATAAAATAAACTCTCTTGACAACCAACTAAACCAAAACAAAACTTAATTTGTGAACCCTACAATAGTAGCATGGGGCTGCAAGGCCTTGGCATCTGGGCTGGGCTCAACAGTTGGGCTGGGCTCAACGGGCTTGCTGAGGAGCTCCTGAGGGAGGTCCTTGATGCCCTTGAGGTAGAAAGTGTAGAAGAGCTTGAAAGGGAACACAATCTGGTGGAGCTTGACCTGGCCGGTGGCCCCCTCAAAGATGCCGGAGCCGCCGGTGACGGCGAGATATGTGTCCTCGTACGTCAGATACGCGCCCTGAACGGCAATGTGACCGTAGTCTCCGAAGTAGAAACTGTAGATGGCCTCGTATCTGTCTCCTTTCTTCTCAGGCTTGTGCTCGATCAGAATGCAGATTCCTGCGGTTATGCCCACGCGCTTCTGCATACACCCTGTGTACAACTGCAGTTCCCCAACACACCCCAGAAATTAATTCCCGGGAAACAAACAGATATGGGAAAAATAATAACCATGTTTCATTTTTTTTATTTGCTGGGCTGTTGAATTCATGGTAAATAACTTATGAGTTACAATTTTATTGAATTAGATATATATTTTTACTTTTTTTTTTCTTATTAAGACAAATCAGTTGCATAAGCTAGACATGTGAAGAGTGCTCAGTGTAATGAATGTAAGAAATGTGACACCGTAACCATTTACAACTCGTAAATATTTACTATCAATTTTATTTTGAATATTGAACAAATAAAATTGTTAGTGAATTTTAAATTAAAAATAAAAAAGCATGATCATTTCAAACTTGAGAAAGAGATCTCGTTAGTTTTCTTATTCCTAAACCTGCAATTTTACCGGCTCAAATAAATATACTATATGACGAAGGATCCAGGAAGCCAAGAGAAATGTTGTTCAGCAATGTATTAGGATAAGATCAAAGGAAAGAAAAAGAGGACTCTCTACTTATTGATCGATAATACAAAAGATGATAGGGAAAATCAACAAAGGAAGAGAAAACTCCATGATCAGGCAAAAAAAAAAGGAAGGAAGTGAGAAACAGTAATGAACAGACCTTGTTGCTGAAGGGGACGAGATCACCGAGGGAATTGACAGGTTTCTGACTCAATCGTAGAATAGCAGGACTTCCACGGTCTCGCTCGTTGATCTCGTAAACGTGCAGTTGTTGAACTTTCTCTGGAAAAAGGGGCAAAAAAAAAAAAGGAAAGAAAACTCAGAAACCAACCAAAAAGATCAACGCAGAATAAAGAGATCGAAGACGGAAAATATGTCAGTAATTAGTCGAGACAGTGAACTTACCAGAGTCAAGAGAGCCAACCTGGCTTCTGCAGGAGAAGGATTGCTTAGGGAGGGAGGAGATGGAGAGAGGAGAAGCGGAGGAAAGCTTGAGATTGGAAGAGATCAGAGAAGAGTTTGAAGAAGTGAAGGATGAGAGCGGTTTGGTAGTGAAGGAAGATACCGGAAGAGAAGCCTTGGGAGAGGAGGAGGAGGAGGAAGATGAGACGGCAGTGAAAGCAGAGGTCGAGAGGGAAGCCATTGGAAGAGAAAGAGAAAGAGAGAGAGAGAGTGGAGTTTGTGGGTGTCAGAGTGGAGAGAAGTAATGGAATCAATCACAGTGATGATGAAAAGTGTGAGTGGAAAAGGGAATTATTTATAAAGAGAAAAAAGGTGGAAGGCGGAGGTAAAGAGGGCACGGGGAGAGCAGGTGGCCGGTGAAAGGATTGAGAGAGAGAGAGAGAGAGAGCGTGGTGGGAAAGGAGGAGGACGGTGTGAATCATGTTGAGAAATGTGAATCAAAAGTCGGAATGATCCACGTTCGGTAATCAACCGGTCAATGATGAGAAGGAGTGGACGGTCATTCCGGCCATTTTAAGATCTTCCTGGTATTTCAGGAAATCCAATAATGCCATAAAATTTTTTTCTAAACATTTATGAGATCAGTTCCATGTCACAATCCTCAAATTCTATTTTTTAAAATTATATATTAAATTATATTAGGAAAATGATAAATAAATTCTATCAAAATAGATGAATGAGTATCATAAAATATGATCAATATTTTAAATTCTTTAGAGATTTATCTCACATAAATTTCTTTTACAAAATTATATTTCTGATCATAAATAAAATACTCCCTCTGTTAAAAAATATAAAATATTTTTTTAGGAGTTGAATGTTTAAAAATATAAGGCATTTTTAATCTTTTGAGATATAATCATTGTCTTTTTTAAAAAATATTCATTTTGATAGTGACTTTATATTTATTATAAGGTGTTTAAGAGGGATAAATATAAAAGGATATGGTTAATTAAAAAGTAGATAACTATTTTATTGGGATGTGAGATTCGATTAAAAATGTTTTATATTTTTTAAGGGAGGAAGTAATAAAAATCTAATTTCTAAAATAAGTTGTTAATAATCAAAGTAAAGTTATTAATATAAAAAACCATAATTAGTAGTCTAATTGTGGAATAATAAATATGTTTTTTATATTAACAATTTCAGCCTAGTAATTAATAATTTCAGTTTAAGCATTAATAATATAATTGATCATAAATTCAATTTAGTTATGTTATAATAATTACACTTTATACGCTCTCAACTTTACTTTTGTTATAAAAATTATAGTTTAAGTTTTAACAATTAGACTTTCAAAGGATCAGAAACATAATTTTACAAAAAATAGTAATAGATAATAAATTCATATGAACTTCAAAGTAATTACCTTATCAAGCCTCCCTCTCCTGTGTAAGGTACTTTTAGAAATAATTTGATGTTTTGAAATATAAAATATTTTGATAAAAATAAAATTTTATTAATCGTGCTTATTTTAATATTACATTTCCTTCCTTAATATATTTTTCTCTAATCTCTCTTTAAGTATGGATTTAATTTAAAGTTATATTAAATTAAGTGTATTTTTGAAAACTTATATTTTTATTTAAAAAATAAGATTATAAAATGTATTTAATAAACTTTATTGATATGCATAATTTTATTTAAAAAAATATCTTATAAATTGAGATAGAAAGAATATTATATTATTAAATCTTTAATCAATGGCATTAATGCGAAAATATTCCCGTAAGAAGACATTACGCTTCTTTTTTACCCGAAATAAAACATTATTCTTGGAAATATTGTTTACGTACGTGTCATAGGAGGAAGGTAAGTAGAAACCGTCCAAAAACGAGTCAATATAAGCCATCTAATTTTAATATTCATACTATTATTGACGATGTCTTAATGATCAAATATTTTATGAACATGTTTTATTTGAAAAATGTTTTCAAATCACGTGTGTTTTTTCGCTATTTGCAATTTGCCAACAAAATGTGTTGGATTTGGGGAACCGACCAGGCGACCACCACTGTCCTTTCCCACCTCTTTTATTCCCACAAAAAATACCAATTTAAAAGTATTTTGTTATTACTTCTCAGTCTCATAATTTGCATAAATCTTTCGTCTATTTATTAAAATTAAGGAATAGTGATATTTTTCATATCCAATTTATTAATTTTTTTCAACTTTCTTTTTCAATAACTAACAAATACAATATTTGTGTTCAATTTCTTTATTTCTTTCGACGCAGCTAGCTCATTTTAATTCCTTGTAAACTCTAATTTATTTTTATTTTTTTGAAAATGATTTAGTGTCAGTCGTTTTTTTTAAATAAAAGACAGTCTGAATTCAATATACACAATAATTTAGTTCTTATTTTTACCCAAAAAAAAAGTCAAGTCTAGCGATTCTAATATAAAAATTAGATAGATTCTAATTTATGTGCCATGTGACATTTGACAAGTGAGTGACAATTACATACACGCGTATATTATATATATTCTATCGATTGATTGACAAGAAGACTGGCTGCTTTTATCTATGTAAAATTTACAACGTTGAATTGGGAAATTTGAATTGGGTTTCCCATCATAACGTTCTGTCTGGTTGACACGAAAGGCGGGGCATGGGGAGTTGGAGATGGAACAGGAAGCAAGAAATTGGATGGAGCTGGAGCTGTTTGGCAAGCTTTTTTTATTTTATTATTATTATTATTTTTTTATTAATTTTTTATACTTGAATGATGCTCTTAGAGATAAGTTGGGTAAGTCTGACTCAATTCAAATCAGGTTTATACATATTAAGTTAAAAATACTTCAACATATAAAACAGTTCATTTAAGCTAACTCGAATAATTAAATTATCAAATATTATTTTATTTTACTTTTAGTGAATTTCAATTTTTATTTAAAAATTAATATTTTTAAATTTTTGTCTTATTTTAATTTTCTATTGTTATTAATAAAAGCATTTAGGTATTTCGATTAAATCTATTCAAGTTTAGACTTGAACTAATTTTTTTTAAAATAAATAAAATTTTTTAAACTCTTAAATTGGGCCTTAAAACTTTTTGAATTTGGCACAACTTACTGATTTTAGATGTTGTTTTCCTCATTTTATAGAAATAATAAGTTAATAAATACTCCAATTTTCATTTCGTACAAAAGTTTATGGAATGTCACTGTATTTACTTGTGAATGCTTGTGAAAAAGACTGTGGCTGTGTAAAACTTGGAAAATGAATTTTAGAAATTAAATTTGTAGTTTTGTAAAAATATATCTCAAATCACATTCCATTCTTTTCTGTGTTCTTGTTCCATGAGGCTAAAGCCTAAAACTATTTGTTCTGACGTTACTTATTATTTAAGAGATCAGAACTATTTTTTCTAACTCTTGTAGAAAAATTGTTGCCTGCCATGTGAGAATAAATAACAATTTCCACAACAATTTATTGTAATATTTTTGACATGTTGCTTGTCATGTACGAATAAGCAATAGTTAAAAATTGTTATGTAAAGATAAAATAGACAAAATTTAATATTTCTTTCTCTACCTACATAAAATTTTAACTTTGCACCTCTTGAATGTAAAATAACTTTAACCATTCTTTCAATACTGTCATGCATTATATTGCGAAAAAGAGATAATTTTTAAAATAATTTTTGATTTTATATAACTGGTAAATTAGTTAATAATTAATAAATTGATACAAATATAAATTGCTCACAGAAAATAAAGTTCCTTTTTTTGAATTTTGAAACTTTGATAGTCCAAATATACGAACCATTTGCAAAATCCACAGCACCTGGTGAGCAGCAAGCATTGAAGACTTTCCTTGAGGAAGAAATTTCTAAGTTATTATTTTGCCTGCACTTGGATAAGTCTGTGGAAGACTTCAATTACAAACAAGTTTGAGAAATTTTATCTGTTCCTGAAAATCCCTAATTGTTTGATGAGGGGTTAAAAGTATCACCTTGCGTAAAGCTTGATTTTTTAACAACCAAATAAAATGTAGAAGCGTGAAAATTTCCTCAATCAAAGAAAGATCCTTGGCTCTACAAAATTTATCTGAAAATCTTAAAAGCCAGAAAACTAAACCTTGATGAGAAATTTCCTTTGAACAGATTCCCAAAGAGCCACACCAAATATAGCTTTAACAAAAGGACATTCATAGAAAGTATGAAGCAAGGAATCCTATAAGTTGCAACCATAAGGACACATAATTGATGCAGGAACATGATGACCTAGAAGAATATCAGCTATGGGAATAGCCTTATGTACTAATTTCCAGATAAAAAAGGAGAGTTTTATATGAAAGATGTAGTTTCCAAAGAAACTCCCAAATATTTTCTCTTGCTAGATGCGAATCCCCTGCAAGCCTATTAAGATATTTAAAACCCTGTTAGACAATGTAAGTGCCAAAATTCTAGGTTAATTTATCTATAGAGCCACAGAAAGATAATGGAATTTTTATACTTTGACAAACTAAATTTGAGTCATACAAATTCCTTAATAAAGGAATATTCCAACTGAGTTGCGACCACAAGTAAGGCTTTTGAATCGTCAGATCAGCTACAGTGAAGACATTGAGAGCCCTGGCAAAAGAAGAGTTAGAAGGAGACCACCAAAGCTCATGAGGATCGAAATGGAAGAACCATTTCCAACCTGCCATTTGAGATTATCAATAATGAGGTCTAATGAATCAAATATAACTTTCCAGAACCATGAGGAATTGTAAGGCTTTTTCAAGAAGAAACCATTTCAAGATCTACATACTTCAACTTTAGGGCATTTCCCAACAATGAATGAGGTTCTACTTGCAAACTTCTCCAAATTTGTTTAGCAATCAGAGCCACATCCATTTGCCTAGTATTCCTTAAGCCAAGAATGTAATCACCACGCATACATAATCAACATTAGTCAAAATCAAGGTAATCAAGGGACTAGACCTGTTAGGGTTTACTAAGTTTTCACAATTCATTAGTAATAACCAAGGTTTCTAAATTTATGAATGGGAGACAAGTTTCAAGCCATTTGCCAAGGGATCCTAAGATTTCAACATTTAAAACTCTCCCAATCACTTCATAGTGTTCAAATCAGAGTTCTAAAATAATGCAAAAGCTTAGAAATTAAACAAGGCCCAAAACATAAGATTTCAGATTCAAAATTATGATCTATGCAAAAGATAGAGCATACGTCGAGGCTAAGTGTCCATGTGCCGTGGTGTCTCTCACCTCTGCCATAAGACAGCATTGGGAGAAAACTTCCAA